TTGAAAACCATCAGCTTCATATGCTGGCACATTTACTGGATCAAAGATACTGAGGGCACTAATAACATCAGAGCTTGAAACAAATCTTTGATCCAAATTATTTGATGGAGCTGCTACATACTTTTGTGTAAGGCTTTGCATTTGTTGATATGAGGTGGGGGAAATGTGATATCATATCCAAGATTTGTAAAGCTATCGACATCTTGTAGTTTGTCCATAGGGATGTCATCCTCAACAATTCTGTTCAAATGTTGTTTGGTTGCTTTGATTTGTGGTTGAATAAGGGAGAAATTTATGTTGCTTCTTTGAAATGTGTGGGAAAGACTTGAAAGAACTGGAAGAACCTCTGCTAAAATGTACAATGTTCCAATAAACTTTACATTCTTCATCTTCTTTAAAAGGCCAGCTGCTGTGGCATCATTGTGTATGCTATCTAACTCTTGCAGTGTTTGTATTACACCACAGTACTGTTGCTTCATAGCTTCTACTAATTTGTCAAAGCTTAGCCATCTAGTTTTGCAAGCTTTTTTCAGTTCTTTGGCCAACACCTACTTGCCTTTGATTGAGCTCACTCTCACTTCACTCACATTTGTTAGTACTTTCATCAATAGTGCCATTTGCTTGGGTGAGTTCTCAAAATGCTTCCACGTTTGTCTCAGTAACCCAGATACATCTTGAATGTATTTGGTGTCTTCATTAGAATCAGTATATGTATGCAGGAGCTAGCCTGTGGCATACACAGTGTATAGCAATGATGCATATATTATCTCGCGTTAGTTTAGAAGTTACCCCCTCTCTTTTGCCTACCATGACAGATGCACCATCTGTTTCCAGCCCCATCAAATTTTTTATGCCTAACTGTGGTGAGAGAAGCTCCTCTTTGAGCAAGTCATAGATTTCCTGTGCGGTAGCTGCATCATGTTCTTTCAGCACATTCTGGGCAGAAAGAAAACTTGTCTCGACTGTTTCACTTTGAGTGCAAAAATACTGGACAAAAGTTATTTGATGCTAGTGTCACCTGAGAGGTGACACTAACATCTGTCTTCTCATCAGTCATTAATTCAAAACAGCTTGCTGCTCTAACCTTCTTCAAAGTAAGTTCTTTTACAGCATTTCCAATTGTCAAGAAGATTTCAGTCAAAGACCCTTCAGATCTATGTTGAAAGTATTTGATTTCAGCCACCCCTATCACATTTGTTATAAAATTAATAAGTGGGAAGAATTTTCTGTTTGGCAAGTACTCTTTCATTACAAAATAAGCTGTTGAAAAGGCTTTCTCTAAGACTGATATTTTGGTTTCTTTTTTCTCAACAAACTCTTTGTGGAAAACAGACATTCTTAAGATCATCTCTGCTTCTAAAGCACTCTTATGACGCCCTGACTTCCTGTGCGTTTCAATAGCATCTGACTTGAATCGGTCAGACGCTACTCCAGAAAATTTGTCAGTTTTGTTCTG